TTTGCTTTTTCATCCACTATAGAGAGACCCCTTTGAGATAACCTTGCACCCCCCTTCCCCTCATAAAAGAGAGACGAATTCGATGGAAGGAATACTTTTCGAATTCTACGGCTTGATATTCGAATGACGGAATGAGAACACGATGAGTTGGCACAGTGAGGTTAGCACGACGACTTCCATTTATTCTTCAAATAAAAAAATAAACGCCGTTTGACCGTACTGAGGCCGTACATTTTCATCGAATGCCGTCGCATTTTCCGTCTGCTAGCTTAACTTCATTTCTAACCCTAGGTCTTCAGGGTTTGCTTATTCATCTTCGGAGTTTGATTCGTTTTCCACGTTTGTATTCGTTATGCGGTGATGCTCTTGCAACGTTGCAAAATCAAAATATGCAGCAGGCATCGCAATGCACGGTCGAAGAACAGTACGGTGGGATATTGATCATTTAGGTTAGTAAACGGGTGGATGATTTCTTCCGGGGTTTCAAAATCACGGACAATCGAAAACCGCTCAATTAATCGGCTCGAAAATCAGCTGGCTCTTTCAAAATTTTTATCACGAGAAACGGGAAATTTACCAACTACTGTACCAAAATTCATCTTAGGATCTTTGAAAATCCTATTCGAACAGCTGAGGCAAGGATGCGGGTATGCAACGTATTTTTTATGGGTGCGGCTATTAGTGTTCAATAAATACACGTTTATACCAATTGAAACCCTAACCACGCTTTCGGAGAACATATACTTCATAAACCTCAAAAATACTTGCCATATCAGCCCCAGGAAATTTTCACGTTAAAATAAAATTATACTGTACCGAAATTATGCTTACATTCTTGAACATACGAGGACCGACTACGTCCACGTCGAGCAACAGCCCGCAAAAGATGAGACGTAAAAATGGAAGGAAAGTAAAATTTATTAACGGCATGAATGAAAATAGGATCTGATCAGCGGGATGGCACGTTTTCGACAGAGTGGAAGATGCTCCAACTTCGCATTTCGCAAGCCATCGCCTATCAACGTCGGAACATTCTTGAAATGCTTCGAGCAATATTATTCTCGTCGGCGAGCAAGTCATTTAAAAAATTCCCTGGAAGGATACGAAGTTAACGGGGTCACCTTGCCCCGAAGAAGATAATTACTTCCATTACGTATCGTCGGGCTGGCCGGTGAACGCTCGCCGTTATCGCGATGATCAATCGAGGCGATGAGAGCCAGCGGATAAACCAACATCAGCCATAAAACACGCGGAGGTTCTCGCGATGATTTAAACCTGAAAGTGAACCCAAGTGCACATCCTTTAATCACGAAGGTCGGGCCCTCAGCGTCGAATCGAATGCAGGAGAGCCGTTTCACGTTTTCGATCCTTTTTGGGGGGAAATCAGCGCCAGAATGGTGCTACTTTTTACATTTTAAAGTCCAGTTAAAGTTGGTGAGATCTCTTCATAAGCATAAATTACGAAGTTCATCAAAAACTCCACGAATTCCCGTCCACCACAATGCATCAATAATTCCAGAACTTCTTCAATTTTCAGTAGGCCGCTGTCATGAATCTTCTGCATTGACAGAAAGGCCGACATATCCTGATATTTTGAAAAAAAAAACCATAAGTAATTTTTATATGAGAGGGTAGTATCGTATTCACGTTTCTTTAGTGGGCTCTCCATTTTATTGAGACTATAGACGAAAATCATCAACCCGAAAGCAAGAGATAACCATTTTATAATTTTCTGCATATTTTTGATTGTCTACAATGTTGTCATTTGTGAAATGGTTATACAGTCCCTGAAGACATTTGTAGAAGTACTAACGCTTCTGCCTTTCGATCAGTCATCAGATATGTTTGTAAATGTCAGAAATAGATGACTTACTTCACAGGGATTAAAGTATAATTTTGCTGAAATCTAGAAATTTGACATCGTGAAACTGCCAAGGATAAACTTTTAATGCACTTATTCTCATTACTAAGAAAGACATCAAGGCAATGAGTTGATACATCATTCTGGACCACCATCTTTTCAACAATTCAGCGATATTTTGGGGTTTGGAAGCAATTTTTTCGTAAGAGGAAGCAATTCAAGTTCTTTTCAGTCCAAAATTTAATCATGAACCATGCACTGTACTATCTGGGCAGGAGAAACCTTTTCGTGATGGAAGAAAAGGGGTTGAAGTTTAGGCTAGACAATTTTGACTTCACAACAAAGGATGAAATTATTTTTGCATTCCCCTTCCTGGTGGTTCTCGCCTCTTGTGGCTCTTCTCTTTGTAAAGTGGAAAAGCAATTCGCATCACTAGAAGAGTGGTGATCCGAAATACGATTTTTTAAATCATTTTCGTGTTCTCTTTCAAAATTCACGGGAATAGTTTGAAAACGTTCACTGGAATACTGTATATTCCCAGATTAAAATTATTTCGTTGCTTCAAAATTAAACTAAAATTAATTTGAAGAGAAGCCTTCAATTTGTAAAGTCAAAAACGTTTATTATCTTGAAAATGGGTAAAAACAAAACTTGAATACATCAGACAATTAAAAAATCACTGGAACAATCAGTGAAACATTGAAGTTTAAGAATGGTGATTGTAATCGAATGTATAAAATGGTATTGTTTTCGGAAACATATACAGTATTCATATTCTAAATCAAAAAGCAGTGACGGTAACACGCCGGAAATTATTTAGTTGAAGCTGTGATTGCGTAGACAGGAAAACAATTCAAGAGCGAAGTACAGAATTCAAGAAAATTTTGGTTATTGCATCTAATCTTGCCGATTCGTAGTAAGAATGTTGAACATTGACCACGTTTAGTTACTGCCGGGGCTTCGAGACAAATTATCGTCTCGCAGAATTTTTAAACGGTGTTTTTCACAACGAGTTTCTACATGTACTAACATGTGCTTCATCAAGTCGGAGTACCGTCTATATACTCGTTTATATGACACTGATGCGTTTGTAGAAGTTGAGTCCTCTGGGTCAATTACAAGCTAATGTAGCTTACATGTTACAGAGAACCCATACCATGAAAGTAAGTATAGTGACATGCAGTCGAAGATATTCTTACTCAGGCTACTCTAATTGCAATTTAGAAGACGCGGAACAACATCTGAAAGAATTTTGAAAATAAATCTCTGGATCTCATATTTTCAAAGTAGAACGGCTCATTTCCAAATTTTAACGCGGATGCAGGAGCATCATTCCGGAGAACCAAGCTATAAAACACCAAAGATTTAAAACGTAAAACCCTTCATATGTAAAATCATTACCTTACGCGGAGCACAAATTACCTGAATGCATCAAACACAAAATCTCATAAACCTACTCAGTTCTTCCATAAAACTCACAGCCGCTCCTCGTTTTCTCTCACAACTGAAGGCAACTGTCTTGTTGCACAATGTAATGACGTAGCATAAATTTTGATGGGCTTTAAAAAATTGCCCGTTTGCCTTAAAAATTGTCATGCACACCTTGTGCATAGTTTTGAGTCCTCTAAATGTAGCTCTATTGTGATCTTCGTCCAACTCTGAAGCTCAAATGAGTTCCTCTGGTTTATTCACTGCAGATCTAGATTATCTCTCGAATGTGTTGAAAAGCGAATAAATAAGGAGCATTCTGTTCCCTTTCAAGTTTTGTGGATCAAAGAAACTAACCTAGATTGTGGAATCCATAACAATCGTCGAAGAAAATTAAAAATGTCAATGCCATAAAGGTAACTTGAATTTTTTCTGTAACCCATAAATTTAGAGACATGGTACACAAGACCTTGAATTTTCATTCAAACCCTTTCTTCCGAATTCCCGCGATTCAACGTAACAATTCGTCTTCGCGGCAATGAAACACAGTACTGCACTATATTTAAACAACCAGCATAATGGAACGCATTGGATGTCGATATTTCATTACTCTCAAGTAGGATACGAGTATACCCCGTCTCACGACTCTTATTCCAAAGGATGAAACGCGTCGGTAAATATCGATCTCGGGATTCATCGGAAAACCGCTAATGAAACCACGTCGACGCAAGAGAAGAAGAGGTACGGAACGAAGTTCGGCACCACCACCACAGGTACTCATGGTGCCAGGTCTTTCGTTTCTCAATCTAATGACGACGTGGGTGGGAACAAGCACAAACGGCAAAAGAAGACATTCTTTGCGAAGGAAGGTTGTCATTTCGTGGGTTACAGGGTGAGCAGGGTTCTGCGTGGTACGACACGGACAATTAGCCCTGAAGCGAGTTGGGAATGCCCCGTCCAATCATTCCGCACCTCGCGGCTGTGGCCCAAGTAAGAAATCCGATGAAAACGTAACGTCTTCTTCCCGTGGTTTCATTTCCTTTCCCGACGAACCCACTTTATTTCCAGCGTGTCATATAGGGTGAAACTTGTGGTGTTACAGGCAACCCGTTTGATTAAGAATTCCTGCGTTTAATTGACCGGCTTTTTTGGCGACGTCATTTCCAACCGCAGAACGCGACCGTGGTAAATTTTCAGCGAACGTATGATTCGGATATAAGTAAGGTAACTCCCATAAACCTGAGAGAAATCCATATGAAAATACTGTATTAATCTTCAGACTCAGAAGCTCCCAGACTTTTTGACTTGATGAGCAATATTGGAATAAATCCTAATGGCGTAGAGCCGTAGATCGTAGCGCATTATTTTTCGTTCCATTACACTGGGTTATGATCATTTCATGTAGTTGTCCCTGCACTTTTTTTTTACTGTTCCACCATAAACACCCGCCTCCATGCCCAATAACTTGAGTAACCAAGAAAAAAAATTGCTTCGGTTTCGTGAGATGCAAAAGCGATGGTAAGATGACGAATCGCAAACATTGTGAATGATTGCTGTTCGTCGTTCATTCGTTCTCCTGTGTACAAAGTACAGTATTCTTATTGGTGGGACACGAGAGAAAACTTTAACGCAGGGGGAAAAACGGCAGCAAAAAGGAGCAGATCTTATTTTCCGTCGAGACGTCCTGTCTGGACTAACTTAAAATCGCGGCTCACGCCCGTGACCACACGACGCCTTTGTGAGCGCCTCTTACAAAGAAATCCGCCTCACTCCAGCTCATTTGCACATGAAAAGCGCGGCGGGCACGGAGATAGACCCTAGCTCGGTGCGACAATTGAAATGAAGTCACTCCGTCCAAGAAACCCGACCTTTGAGAAGAAGAGATGAAATATGACGGCGTTTTTCTCTCACTTCTTACCCCATTGCATCGCCGTGCTTGTAACCGCGAGTCTGATCAATCGAAACGCCTGAGTCATCGCCGCAGCCGTTCGTGTACGGGATTCGGGCATCCGCAAGCTACCGATTTTTCTTTCACTGAATGAGTGACCGCGATAAACGACAGGGCAGCCTTGATTATCGTTAATCTACATCTCTGACGAATCTCGGTAAAATCTGAACTCTCGGACGCCACGTCCGTCAATTCTTGAATCGCAGCTTATTCAACGAAGGGAATACCGCGGAACTCAGATTATCCGATTTTACTTCGCAAAAAAGCCCCATTCAATCAATTTTAAAAGGGACTTGAATTACCTGTACGCCGGCTAAATTAGGTCCAAGGAAGCCGAGCTACACAGGTTTCGTCTTTCAAAAGCAACCTCATCAAATCCACTTCCGGAAATGCGAGTACGAGACCGCAACATTTTCGCCCACATAATTGCAAATAAATTGGAACACGGATCAGGAACTTTTGACGTATTTTTTCTTCCCGAACTGGAAAAGAAAAATCACTGCGCTGGGGACCTTCGATAAAATCACCGGAATCCGGTCATGATATTTTCATTTCCTTCAGGGAATTATTTCCTTCAGGGAAGAGTAAATGAATATATACGGTTCATACGCAACTATGTAGATAGCACCTTAATTTCAAGTACCCATTCAAAGGAAAAAGGTCGGTATACTGCAGCGAAAGAGGATAGTTGGGAGGGAAAAGGTCACCTATAAAGATGTCAAATCTGATTATTTCTTGAAAGAATTCAAAATGGGGCAAAGGTTATGTAGTTGTATCGAGTTTGTCGAACAAACGAGACTGGTGTGACGTATTGTAGAATATCTCAAGTAACATTACCCTGAAGGGGCTCAGGTGAGGTCTGTACACCATTTCGAAAATATGGCGCACCCAAGTTTTTGAAGAAAGAAAAGTTTGGCATTGGATTGAATGAAAACTTTACGCGTCGTAAGGTACAGTGAATTCAATTTGCGTCACAAAAAGCACTAAAACGTGCTCGTTCCACGGCATTTTTCCAACGAAAAAGTACCACGCTGACCTTCTAGGACGAAACTCTAAATCTCATTCCATCAACGACCGTAAAAGGTATTCTTTAAATTAATTAAACAAGTAAAGAGCAATCCATAACGTCACCAGAGAAGAGGTACTGAAATGAGCCCCCTTTAGGCTCTCACCACAGAAGAATATATTTCTACGAATGTGTCCGAAGAAAACAGTATTTAGTACTGTACCATGAACAACTTCCTGCTCCTTGACGGCAATCGCCGCAGGCAAAGCCAGAAAAAGTGTTTGACCATGATTTTCGGTCCTCAAAAGGAAAATAATTCCTTTTAATTACCGGCGGATTCTAGTAGCCGTAATGAGACAGCAGAAAAGCGGTCGACTCACCCGATTGTGGTGCAAATCCGGTTGGGAACTGACAGTCGGCAAATAAATTTGTCGCCTCCCGTCCTCTTCCGTGTATCTCACGATGAGGTCCACAGGCAGTGCGTATTCATCGTCCACGATGATCTGCAGAAATAAAATTTAAAAAAAACCACCGGTGAGGACTCTGATAATGTGGGCAAGGCTGAGATTTGATTGACAGCCAAGCACCGAGATCGCCATTCATCAACTACAGCTGCGCCTGGGACGTATTGTCTCTTTCCTTTTCGTTGTCTAGATCGATGGTGGGTCATTCATTGCCAACTAAGGCAACTTTCCCCTCCGCCGAGCCAGACAAAAGAGCTTTCTCTCTCAGACTAAAAAAATAAAATCGAAATTTGCGAGATATTGGGTTACCATAACACTCTCCGGAGTGCTCTTCGGAAAATCGAACACTCCTGGGATTCGCGAATCCGTTCGCAAAATGATGCACTCAGAACCGGCCGTTAGAATCGGGGCCGAATATTTTCCGCGGCTTACTCGGGTTTCGCTATTAGCATAGCACTGATATTTGATTGACATCCCATCCGAAGAGTGACGGTTGGATCTCATAACCACATAACTCAGATGCTTTTTGAGCTTAATGTGGCTCTAGTGTGGGAAAAACTTGTATCGCTCTCCTATTAAAAAAAAACTTTTATCGATAAAGTTCACTCCAGGAAAGCCCCGATCGATCGCCATGAAATGCCTCTGCCGACGTTCAGATGATGCAACGTTGTTGAAGATGAACGAGTGACCAGCGGTAACTGTCACATCTTCACTTTAATTGAACGCCTTCTCACGACATGACCGAACAGGTTCTCTCGAGTCGGAATGTTACAAGTCACGACGCCGACAAAGGTTGTCGATGATATCTCGTGATCTGTAGTTAAATTGGTGTCGTACGCAGCTGAATGCTGTCAAGATCTATCAAAACCAGAAATGGACAAATCCAGGTTCTAATCAATTTCTTCGCACTCCGTATTCAGAACGTCCTTGTAAACCTCGAAATGGTGGCTTCCAATATGAGTATATCCCAAAGGACCTTTCAGGCATTCAAGAACAACAGGAGGAGCCTATTCAGAAATTTAAGCTTCAAATTGAAAAAATAAATAACTACAAAACACAATTTTCGTGAACGAAAAAAGCCACTGTTGTACACATTTTGGAGATCTTCTCAATTGATTTTCGATCAGTGTACAGTTCCAGTAAACCTATTCTGAAGGCTTCTTCACGTAATTCTCTGCGATTTCCTGCGCTGCCCCCTCCCACCAAATGCGCTCATTTGTTTATTAAAGGAGCCACATAGATAAAAATGCATTTCAAGTTGATAAAGGATTTGTGCATAAAGTCGACCTCTTTGTTGAAAACTTAATCCATTCATTAGTGAAAACTTATAAGTCCTTAGTTACGTATGGGACAGTGTATTTTTACCCCTGTACATTCAATTAATTTTTTTAATAAAATTTAATCATGCTAGTTCAATCCCCGGGGGAAGATTTTCTTGCCTATGATATATTTGGGCGAAATAGATTTTTCGTTGTTCTCAACTGAGGGCTTCGAATTCCAAATCCAGGAACTATCTCTTCGTAAAAAATGGTCAAGAACAGCCCTTTTAAATTTAGAGTTGGTTAATTTTTTAGTGATCTGGCGGGCGTGAGAGAAGTACCAGCAGCGAGTTTATTTCAAATATCCGCCATAACTTCAACTTTCGTTCTATCTTATCTCAAGCTGCCGCCTTTTGAGAACATGAAATCAAGTACTGTAATGGCGTTCGAGCTTAGCTAGTTGATTTCAACGAATTCATTTTTTGCTGCTTTGTTTACTTGCCTCCATCGAAAATGTACGGGGTTTCGAGGTGCACTGGAAAGAATCCGGGAAGCCGGAATAAAATTGGAACAATGCAAAAACCAGGGAACACAATAATGCACAACGTAGCCGACAGAACCCCATAAACTCTTTCTAGAAAAGTTTGCCTCGACTTGCACGCTTAATGTCATGAATGGACCTTTGTAAACTCGAAGTGGCATAAACGCGGTCTCCTTTCTGTTCGTCGAAAAAAAAATGTACCGTATTTTCTTCGCCGACATTCAAAGTTGAATAAAATTTATGCTGGGGCTGAAAAATATGTTTTAATTCTTAGTGTTCATAGCCGTGAATCAGAAAACGCGTTCATTTTTTCGGCGGACCGATCTTTTTCTGAAATTGTAATGCCCGCAGAACAATTCCGTGAGAAATGCATCATTAAGACGGTAAATTAGAGAAAGATGATGACCCTTTTCAGCCATATTCTGCATCAGTCGTCGTGCAAGGCAGATGCCAACCGGACACGCATCACTAGCCATCGGAAAAGAACTCGGTTAATGACTGCGCACGGTGCTTCGTCGAGGACCCAAAAATAACATTGACTTTCGGTACTCATGACCGTGATTAGCATACACGCCATACTGATCCGACGGTTCTTCGCGATGATGACGAATCTTCGGATCGAGCCGCAGCGGGGATTCTGGAGCATGGAGCAAACGGACACAAAAGAACCTCCGGCTCTCGTGATGCTCGCAACCCAGCGAGCTGAAAACGTTAATCGACGTCGCTAGCCCGGCAGGAAAACGTATTGCATTAACCCTCGCGAATAAAGTCGGAGCCTTGCGGTAGAAATCCGGTGCTTCGAGCCCTACTCGGCGCGGGTACTCAAGGATACAAGCTTAAGGATTCAATTGAGTACAGCGCACGGCGTAAAGACGGCCATTCCACCAGTAATGAACACACTCACGAATGATACGGTATACGGCTGGGCGTTGATCCAGCGCGTGCATAATCCAAAAATTTCCGGCAACCCAGCCCCAAGCTCAGCATTCCGAATATTTAAATCATTGGATTGTTCAAAGAATTTACCATAATACGAACACTTCAGAGGTACACATCTAACCTCCCCTGTACTCATCAAAATGTTTTAATGCAGCCCTTCAACTTTATCCTATTTATTAATTTTATCCTATTATTAATAAATCCGTTCAAAATGTTTTTTATAGAACAATGCCTTTGATATGCAATCCAACAGCCACATTTACATAAATATAGCTGGCGGACGTCTACTGTCTGTACCCAGACCTCGAACGGCAATTTGAAGAAAATCCAGCGCAGGCAAAATCAATTGGCAACATTTAAACAATAAATGCAGCTTAATTGTAGACAAAACCTGATACGCTTTAAGAATCTTAGATGTGCGTAATTTGAAAATAAAATCCAGGATAAAAATACCTCATCACTTCGATTGCATTTCAAATAGGTTCGGCTAAATATTTTTGATACCACTTCCTTGGTACCCATAGTCATAGACAGTTTGTGCATGTGCGTCTCGAGTCATCCTTTAGAAGATGAGTTACAAGTGGGACCTATACTCGATTACAGGAGATTTTATCACGCATTAGGACCGCACTCAAGTTTCTTGGGGCAAGTTTTCGGGGCACAACATGGACCATAATCGCATACATATGTATCATAAGGAAGCCAAAAGGAACTGAGATTTGACCATTATTGCCACCAAGACATTCAATTCGTAAAAATTTCATACAGTATGGTAATCAGGTAAGTTTTGGGGGAAAACAAGAGGATCAAGTTTGATGTACGACATTCGCTCGTGAACTGACCACAAAAAAGGTCACGGAAAGCATAACTGAGTGAGGAAATCCATCAATTCAAGAAACACTCGCCAGGTAACCCTCACTTGAAGAACAGCACGACTTTGGTCTGTTTCAGACGTTTCACAAAGGTTTTAGTTTTTCGCTTCTATTCTTTCCGAGAGCAATTCGTGTTTCCGCGGACTCTCGGACAGATACACGGACTCACCAGCTTCTTTTGCATATTTCATTCATTACTTTTAGCATTTGACGCATGCCAGGTAACACACGGAATTGCGAGGTAGTTGGACCGCGGGGTTCAAAAGAAAGCGCCGGAAACACACGCATTCAATCATGCATCAAGTGAGGCAGTCGGTCTGCTGTGGATTCGTTGATTCCCAAGGACTGGAGGAATAAACTCAGAAAATCCACAGAAAAAGCTCAGCATGCCGTTCTTGGAAAGTACGATGGATGGTCGATGAGTTTCACGACTGATTAAAGTAAAAAGGGGAGTTTGGTCATTTTTGAAGAAGCTTTCATCGACATTGCCTCAAAATTCGTAGAGCACATACACTCATCTGCCTTTTTCAATGAATTTTTTCAAATGATATATTCAACGAATTTGCGCAAGTGTTCTTGTATAGGCCTCAGTATTTTAAATGAGGGGACACACTTGAAGCTCTCCCATATCTTTCTTCAGCTGAGTATAGTCCATAATTTTTACTCACGTCGATGAATGTTAACAAAAGCAACAAAAAATGTGCGACCGCCTTCAGTCACATCAAATGCCCTGTGATGTCAAGTGACGAAGTCTAAAAACTTATGGACCACCCGTTGTGCATCGGGATCTGCGGCGAGACTAATCAAAAGAGCTCAGTTTATCGCATACCAAGCCCCACCAAAAGTTGAGTGACAAGCCCAACACGCTTCCACGGTACACCCAGCAAAATTTCCAACGCAGGCTCTAAATCGAAAATGAACGTCATCCGCTTCGTAAGAATCGATAGGACTTTTCCCTTACACATCTGTACGAGAAAGCGATCAGAAAATATCCTGTTACTGTATACTGTGTCACTCAACTCAGCCTGTACGATGGGACTCAAGACAGTGCAAAATTGGCTTCCTTCATAAGAAACAACGGAGTGGTAGAGCAGGAGTTGGTCTTCACACACGGTCGTGGAATCCTTCGGGCCCCGCGGTAAAGCACGCCTTTAGGGAGCACGACCAGACCAGCCCGCAATTACGCAACATAAATGGCACGTATGGGTAAGAATGTGCCCAACGTCATGATCATTATTTTCCTCCCCCGATCGGCACCTATTCAGAGGCGCCTTGGGTTCAACCCACGACGAATGTTCGCCAAGCACCCGCTTTTGTTCTCTCGTAACTCGAAAAAAAGAAGAAAAGAAAAGAACGGTAGTCCCTGGGGTGGGCTCTGATTCGCGGGCCACACAATTCTCCAGCGTCCGGATAATTCCCCGCTGCATCGTCTTCCAGCATTTCCGCTGTACGCTTTCAACTGCTTGTGAAATGCGTCATGACTCCGGCACTGAAGGAATACAGTACGAGCACTGTACACGAAACACAAGACAATTCTTCCGGATTCCGGTGCTTCACTACAATGGGCTCATGGTCGGTAAGATTCACCCCAGATTAACTGCTTCTTCGGTTATCATGCCTTACAGTGATAAGCTCTGGGTACCAGTGGGCTTCTTACCGTATATTTAGAATGTACAGCGTGGATCACGTGATTAGGAGAAGAAAAGCTGCACAACAGGCGCACATAATACCCACTGCTTCCTTATTCATGATTTGATGCCACAAGTACTGTATGTTCTCTCCTGCAAGAGAACGTAATTTTAGCACAACCTCACACGTTACACACTGTGCGCGGTCAACTTTTACAGCAGCTCAACTGCACGTTAGTCATTGATCACTTAACCCAGCATCGCC